TGGTGCATAAATTAATTACACGCATTTAATAACCAAAATATCATTATATTCCCCCTTTAATATCATAAAGGCTTTCCGCCAGGGAAGCACTTAATAGTGCAGGGGGCCGTAACGGGCTATTATCTTGGTGTAATGCTATTACAGAACCAATTATGCGCCATTAGACTTGCTTTTTTTGCAGTTTATGTGATTTGATCCAATCCCGCGCCCCTGACTTGAAAATTTCAGCCCGGTGCTTTAGAGTTTAATTTTCGCCCAGGCAGAGGGAAGGGCGGTCCCTCTCCGCTGAGCGGCTGCCTCGGATGCATTTTAAAAGTAATTGCGAAGGGTCCCACCGCATATCATTTGCATGGAGAAGCAACCATAAATCCAGGGACCCCTCGCTGAGAACAAAATCAAACTTTCCTTTTGTACGGTCGCTTGGAAAGGGAAGCCGTGTGCAAAGAGTCCCCCCAAAACCCATCCGGCGGCGAAAATTAGCAGCGCTTTGTCAATTCGAAGCCCGGGAGCCGCCTGGCCCGTGACGGGGGCGCGCCCGAGTCTAAACTCTCCGGGAGAAAGAAGGTTTGCGTCCGGGGACTGAAATGGGGGTGGGGCGGAGTGTTAGGAAAATATTGCCTTTTCGCGGGGGTGGTGGGAGTGCTGGTTGTTACTATCCTCTTTGAAAAGAAACGAGGGAAAAGATTCCTGGTGTTTGCTGAGAAATGACGGTTGTTTTTTTTTTTTTACACCACGTGGGCCATTTGTAAGGCCCAATAGACCTATCCAAGTTACTCGCTGTAGACAGCGCTGGAAATAATCAGATTAAGGCCAATTATGCGTGAGATTATAAAGGCGAGTGCCGAGCCGCGGTGCGCGCTGTAGACAGACAGCAAGACATCTGGCCACTTCCCGAATCACTTTCCTGGTTATCTGCTTTCCCAAGATATTATTTCTTCCAACTCTGAACTTGGTAAAAGCTGTTAGGTATAGTTTCAGTCTAATTATAAATACCACCAGATAATCCTGATCCCATGCAATTCGCTGTGTAACTGAACTTTGGCTGTTGCTAGGAAGGTTGGTCTAGATCATACCAGTGCTGAAATCCCAGTAGCTGAAAACCACTTAATTTCTTCTAGTTCATGTTCCATTTCCATTGCAGGTCAGCTCAGGGGATCAGTTCTACATGGGCACTGGGGAACTCAAGATCACGGAGACCACACAATACTGTAAGTGCTCTGTTTGGAATACACGGTCTCCTTATTTGTGGGTCAGAAGAGATAGGGAAAGGATCACCTGTCTGCTCTGAAACTATCTGGCTTAGATGTGAGCACATGATTCTGGCCACAGGCCATTGGCCGGCACTTGCTCTGGGGCCTCACCTGACGCCTGGCGGGCAGTGTGGTAGCCTGGATGTTGGATCTGCCCAGCCCCCTCTCTGTTGCCGTCGCCACCTGCCTCCCACCTCTCTCCCCGCCGGAGCTGGGCGGCCTCGGGCTCTGCCGCAGGAACCAGCAGGGTCCTCCCAGCACAGATGCCCGTGTCACGCCTCTAATCGCTCCCCTCCCCGCCCCCAGCCCATGGGCCGCATCAATCTTTCACGGTATTTTGCGAACATCCCGAAAACCCAAGGTGGACTGGGGAGTTGGTTTGAATTGTCCTGGGTCAGACCAAGATCAGAACAACCCTTGCAGGCTGCTCACACCGGCACCGCACCGGCACCGGCACTGCACCGGGCATTATTGCTGCGGGCGGTGGTCAGGGTTTGTTCCCGGCCACCTTGGCCTTTCAGAGCCAGCTGGCCCTGACCACCAGGGGCCCGAGGGCCCTGGCCTGGGCTCATCGTGGTGACTCACTGGATTTCTGACCTCAAATCAACCACTGCTCACTCCCAGGGGCAGCCCCATGGCCAGGATTTGGTTCTTTGAGGGTCTCCAGGATTTAGAAAAAATTCTACCTTAGGATCCCTGTGGTGGTCTCTGTACTGAATTTAGGTGGGGGTACCTGTGAAGGGACAGCTAGGCTCTCCAGTGCCCCCGGATGGGGAGGGTGGTCTCCAGGAGTGGGTCCTCCACAGAAGGGGGATTAGCATGTGCCAGGCAAAGGCAGAGCCACACACTCTGGCCCTTTAGGCCGGGCAGAGCAGTGGTCTCAGCCCTGGGGCATTAGGACTTTTCTAACTGTGGGAGTAACACCAGTACTTGGCTTTGGCAATCCACTCCTTTGATTTATTTGTGGGGTAAAGACTTTGGGAGGCCAAGAAATCAGGGAGGCTGGGGCAGGACAGTGGTGTGAGACACCGAGACATCAAAGGAGGCTGGTCCACCCTGCCCTGGTTACCTGGAGCAGTGGCTGAGCTCGGCTGGCCAACCGCACAAGGACTTCAGAAGTTTATGTTTCCCAAGGAAGCTTTGGAGAGTTTAGCAGGCTTTTCTAGAGGTGGCTAACGAGGACCAGTGGGTAAGCCCTGCCAGCTTGGTCAGCATTTCTAAGAAGGAAAGGCCGACACTTACCTGCATTTCACCTCCTCTTACCCCCAAGGACCCATGGTGATTGGCGTTATGAAAGGTTGGAGAGGTACACCCCCTTACATCAGACCCCAGGGCTGGAGGGAGACCCTCTGAATATGTGGTGGACACATCGTCCCTGTACTTCTGAACCTTGGTCTGGAGTGATTGATGCCCAGGGGCCCACCCTTCTGGTCAAAGTGAGGAAGGCTGAGGTTTGGGCAGGTGGTGGGCCATGGGGAGACTTACAGGGGAAGCCCTGCCGGCAGGGGCAGGGCGGGCTGCAGAATCCACTCGCGGAGAGTTCTCGCCCAGCTGGTCATGAGGTCCAGCCCCGCACACTGAGCTGCTCACTGCTGTCCGCTATGCCCAGTGAGCTTCCCTCGCACCCACACCCAGGCACAGGCTGTCTTGATGCTGATTCTATTCAGAAGCAAAGGAGGTCCTTCAGGGCCTTTTGTTTTATCTCTGCAGACGTTCCTAAGCCAGTTTTGCAGGAAGGTGATCTGCTTCAGCGGGAAAGGCTGAGAATAGAATTTGGATATGACATCTCATTATAGCCTGTCAGCTTTTTAATTTTAATTTTTTGTTAATCTGGAGAGGCATAAAGTAGAAAGCACAGCATGGTTCAGAACCACACTTCTCAGATCATTTTTTTGTGGTGTTAAATTAAAAAGTACTCCATATAGCTGCTTAGGAAATTAAAATAGAACAGAAACCTAAGTGAAAAGTGAAATTCTCTTTCCCCCCCCCCCCGCCCCCCCCCCGAAAAGCACTTCTTGTTGCTGGTTTCTTGTCATTCCTCCAGGAAAAACAGGCTTTTACCATCATTTATATATTTTTCTCTCTCTGTGTTACACATTGTTTGTACTGAAATCATAGTACCAAGTCATTCAGGACTTTGCTTTTTTCATTGCATAATATATGTTTGGAAGATTTTTTCCATGTTGCTGTATCCTGATCTCCTGGCTTATTTTAAATAGCCATGTAGTATTCCACCAGATGCCGTGCAGAATTGTCTCCTGATGGGAACAGTGGTTGTTTCCAGGTGATGTTTATTACCATGTTGCCAGGGACATTCTTCTCTCTTTATATTGCCACCCTGTATATAAATATATTCATAGATTAAATGTCTATATGTGCACTTACATTTTTGGCAAAAATGGTCATTACCCTCTCACAAGGCTATACCAGTAGATGCTGCTACGAATAGGTGAATGGCGGGCACGTTTCAGTACACTCCTATCATGATACCCCTGATGTTTTTTGCCAAAAAACACAGTGGAAATAATAGTTAATGGCTCTGTTTTGTTAAATTGTCAACAAGATTTAACATTTTTCATAAAATTATTGACCATTCTACTTATTTTTAAGTAAAAAGCTCTTCTCATATTTCCTCTTTCCTATTGGGTTGTCAATCTTTGTTCTTATTAATTTGATGAGGCGTCAGCCTTTTGTAAGATTCAGTTGGACGCGCAGTGTTTCATTAAGGTATTATGTGCACCCGAGGTGAGCCAGTGGGGACCAGCGGGAGCGAATCAGGAGACCGAGGCCGATCGTGATGGAGACCCTCAGAGGCCGTCCCACCCTCACCAGCCAGGCCCTCCTTGTTCCACAGGAAGCAGTGTGCTATTCCGCAGAGTACCGGGAGTTCGACTGCCGCGATGATGCTCTTTTAAGCTCCTAATGAACTGGAGTGAAATATTTGTGACTATGGTTTTGAAGAAGAATGCCGTTTGGACAAGAAGAAGGGGGGAGAAGGTTTCACCAGAGAGTGGGGTATTATGGCAAAAAAGGTGGCCCTGGAGAGTGGAATAATAAGTAGGAGGGACTCCCTTTAGTAGACGGAGTTTTTTAAAGCCCAAAGGATCTTGCTTCTTTGGGACTGAGGTCCTTCCGAGGGATGTTGTGGGGCATTGTGGCTCGCCGGCTGCTAGTGCCGAACGCGCAGTGATTCTGAGCCCAGAGCCCATGGCAGGTACAGCATTCACTGGCTAATGGGAACTTGCTCATTTGTTTTCCTAAGGAGCCATTGTGGACTGTCAAGTAAATGGTGCACATTTGGAAAATGATCTGAATGCACATTTGGGGCTAAAGTCTGTTCCGGCTTTATAGGCGCTTTGGAGGCTGCTGGGAGGACAGTGGAAAGATGCCCTTCTTTTCAGGGAAGCAGAAGCAGCGGGCCCTTCTGAGCCCGGTGAGAGGGTGGGTGCCCTCTGAGCGTGGCCCTGTGTAAGTCTGCTTGGAATTCAGGACAGCCACTACTGGGGCAGATTTGTGGTACTGACATCTATGTAGCAGATCCGCTACAGTGCTGATGAGCTGTGACCAACGATAATTAGTATTCATCTGTAAACTTCTTACCTCGTCGTGTCCTGAAGTTCTAGGAGAAAAGTGCTGTGAAAAGCTCTTGGTGTTTTCCTTTCCTTCTCCACCCCCAGTCTTTAACCCTTGTTGTTTGTAGAAATACAGGCAAGTAGACTAACAGGTGAGCAAAGGGAAGCAGCAGCTTCTATGCAAGGCTCTGAGGCGGGGAGTGAGGTGCATTGGACAGAGTGCAGCTGGGAGCTGGGAGCTGGGAGCTGGAAGGTGGATGAAGCCTCCACCTCAAGCCAGTGGCCCTTGCTTGAGACCCGAATTTCTCGACAGGAGAACTGGGCTGTCTTGGGAAGTAAGGTCGCCTCCCGCCCTATGAAATAGGCATAGTTGGGGCTAAAGTCATAAGTTATTGGGACAGACAGAGCACAAGAGAGTAGAAAAGAAGGGGTTTAATAAGAGGAGCAGAGAAGACACTTTGGGGCAGTCAGAGCTCTGTCCGGAGGGCACGGGTTGATGCCGTTGAATGAGCCTGTGTAGCCAGGGGATAGTGTGAATACTGGGGCCACCTGCTCAGGCTGATCCCCTTTGCCCTCAGCAGGCACTGCGCCCTTCGGCAACCACCCTCCTGGAGATTTTGACGATGGGTTCCTGCGCAGAAAACAGCGCCGGAACCGGACAACCTTCACGCTTCAGCAGGTAATGACGGTGTCTTCCGCAAGGTAGCTGTCTCCTGCCTGCGGAAAAATCAGAGTCTTAGCTGCTCTCCTTTGTCTTTTAGAGTAAGGCCAACTGATCATGTTAACGGGATCCTTCTGTTTTCTCAAACAACTTATGTGTCAAGGAACCTGTTTCCGGGAGAGGGCAGAGGACTTTGATTATGATCCCAGATACAGTGAAGAGGCCCTACTGATTGCATGCATTCGCCCGGGGCTGATAGTTTGGGGAGCATTTTAACATCAGCAATGTCATTTGAACCTTGGGAAGGCAGGTAGGACCTTCTTGTCCTTGGGTTGGTAGATGAGAAGGCTGGAACCTAAGAAGTTGGTGGATCTGTAGAAGGTATTGTTGCCCTAAATGGAAGGGCTACAGTTGCAACCCTGATATTGTGTTGCCCGGCTCTGGCCCTGCTCTTAGACCTGCTCAACTTCTGGAGCAAACTGGAGCCAGGAAGTGCTCACCCCTCACCGGCCGTTTCCCTGGGACTGGCCGGAGCAGCTGCAGGTGGTTCTGCTCCTACACCCTGAGTGGAGGCTGTGCGGATTGTTCTCAGTCACAAGGCCACCCTCCCATTTTGATTCTTCTGAACATATTGAAATGCAAACACATATAAATACTCGCACTTCTCTTCTTACTTCTGCTTCTTGGGGAAGCATTGAGGTTGTCAGTAAGACTTAGCTCCTAAGTTATCAGTGGTTGAAATTTTAATTCTGTGGGATCTCTTCAAACAGCTCTTTTCCCCTCTTCCTTGCCGATGTGATCTGTGAAACAGCTTCCTCACCACGGTTAGCAAATGTGAACTATGCTCTGCTTCCTCTCACCTAGCCACAACCTCTCATCAGTAAATAGTCCTTCCTTTTACCAGCTGGAAGCTCTGGAGGCAGTTTTCGCCCAGACGCACTACCCCGATGTATTCACCAGAGAAGAGCTGGCCATGAAAATAAACCTCACGGAAGCCAGAGTGCAGGTGAGCCTTCTGTTCAATTATTTAACTCCCTAATATTAAAACTGGCAAACTTTTTTTTTTGACATCATGACTGCAGAGTGCACATTTGGCCAAAGAAAGCAAATGAAGACTATCTGTCATTTTCATGATGCACTTTAATAACATCAACATAATGTGGAATATTAGATTAGGTTGATTAATCGGTCATTCATAATTAACTAGTGATAATGTTCTACACTAATTTGTCCGCGTCTCTAAGGTACTAAATTACATCAATGCACATCCATTTCCTTGCTTTGGAAAAAAAAAAAAGAGCTGAGATGCTATTCTCAAAGCAGCTCTGACCACTCTGGGCGAAGGCCGGTCAATTGCAGAGAACTGTGTTTTCAGATGGGAACAGGGTTAGGATCTGCTTTCCAGAAATTGCATTATGGCCAACTTTTCCCCGGCACGCGGACTCTTTTAGGGAAGTGAATCCGAAGATCGTGTGCAATTTAAAAGTCTTTAGAGGGCGGCAGCGAAAGGGCTGCTGAGAGACAAGCGTGGCCTGCAGTGACCGGCTCCGGGCAGGCTTTGTTTTTAGAAGCCACACGCGGTTACGTTTAAGTGCACAGACCCGCCGAGCCCAGCAGATGTGCCCGCGCACAGGGGGGCACGCTCACAGCGCTGCCTCTCCAGGCCAGCTAGTCTTTGAGCACAATTATATATTCATTTTATTTATGGGGTTTCCTCCATGCTGGTTTTGTTCTTTTTTTATGTAGGGGCTTGGGGTTAAGACTATGCAAAGATCTAATTGTAGGAAATATAATAGTTTGCTTTCGGTTCCCCTGGGTCATGTTAGTATCTCTTAAAAACCAATGGCTGAAGAGAGATAATGGAATTCTGAGCAGTAAATTGGGGGTTGTAAACAAATTATTTCCCCTATAATCAGATTATGTGATCCTGATGATTAAATCTGAACATGAATCATTGGTCATATGTGGGCAAATTAAACTGATTATTATTTGGAAATGAAAATCTCCTTTGGCCAGGATGCAGTGTCTCCTTTCTTTTTCTAATGCCAGCTTGCCAATAGCTGCCTAAAGACCGCACTGCAAATTGAGATAAATGACACAATTATTGAGCATTCAGAAGTGGGAGATCATAACTTCTCCCTGAAAGGTGCAAGGGTGAGATAGGGGTGGTGACAATTAATGCTGGGAATTGTTGTTGAGGCTGTTGTTGGCTATTATGCAAACAGACAATGGCTGGGAAGCATTTGTTTCTGAGCTCCGAGTGGGGACACGGGCTCCAGGCCTTGGCGGCGGGAAGGGAGATGTGTTTACATTTACACTGCTTGCTCATTCAAATATGATTAATGTTCTATAAAGCAGGGTCTTAATCGAAGCTGATGTTGTCAAACAATAACTAAATAGGGAAATAAACGACTCCATCATGCTCTTTCCTCAGAAGCAGGCGAACTGTCAGTGCAAAGTCATTAAAATATGATAATGAAAAATAGCTCAATTAAATGTTGTCATAGCTGTGACCTTCATTCAATTAAGACCCAAGAAAGTGTCTGCATTTTGCTTTGCATTTAACTGCCCTAAATTTAGAATATAGATAAAATCATTATTCAACGGTTGCTGATATGTGCAATTAAAAGCCAACTAGATTTAAAAAGAGAGAAAGCAAGACCGACAAAGGAGGTTGAAATTCGGAGGCGGAGTCGGCTGGCAGGGCTCAGCCTCGGGACCCCGGGCCAGGCTGCTGGCAGGGGGAGAGGATGCCCTGGGAAAGGAGGGTGGTCTACCAAGCCTTGTTTTTAAGCCAGGAATTGTCTCCTAGGAGAAGGGCCAGGGGATTTGCAGGAAGGAGGAAAGGGCAGCAGGGCTTCCCTGACCTCTGGGGACACGCTGGCCGGGCTTCCCGCTGCCAGGAGGCGCTCCTGCACATGCAGCCTTGGTCCAGGGCTTCCAGGATTCCACACCCGCCTCTGAGGAGGCCCTTAGAGCAGGCGAATGATTATTCGCTGCCTCCCAGCCTGAGGATGGCAGAGACGGTAACACCAGCTAACGCTGACCCAGTGCTGGACCACTCTGCGCCAGGTACCGAGCCTAGGGTTTCATGCATCTGTCGTCTCCTGTAACGCTGGGGTGGCCACTATTATTACCCCGATCTGAATCGTGGCCCCTGGCCATGCCACTGGGTTTCGAGTTGCGGATCTGCCGCTTACCCCCTGAATGACCTTGAACCAGCTAGCGGACCCCTGTGCTTAGTGTTCTCATCTGTGAGGTGGGGACGGTGGGACTGCCTCCCTCATAGACCGCGGTGGACTCTGGACAAGATGCCGGGCTCAGAGTTCTAAACCAGAAGGAACTCCAGAGTCAGCGTGTCCAGTGGGTGCACTGGGCCGCTGCTCACGCATTTGTCATGATGTGCAAGAGGCGATTTCAGGGATCATCACACGTGTGAGGCCAGACACGCAGGCACTCAGGGCAACCTGCTGGAAGTGCGAGTGGGGGTATTTGACGAGAAAGCCCCAGGCCGTGCTTTATAAATGGCTTCATGAGAACCCACCCCTCCAGGAAATAATTTCACGTCAAATAAATGTACTCACGTACATTCGGAATTTCCACAAAACAGCACCTCACCTTTACGCCGGGCAAAGCGTTTGGAGACTTTCTGTGATTTCACACTCTTTAAGGGATGCTCGTCATGCCCTCTGCACTGGCCTTCTGACCGTTGTAGGTCTGCGGCTGCAGTTCAGGGGCGCTGCTTTGGCCGATGATCTTGAGGCGAGGGGAGTGTGCCTCGCAGGCCCGCTGAAGCAGGTGGGCCCAGAGTGCTGGGCAAGGCGGCCAGGCGCTGGGCTGAGTGTGCTTTTCCACCGGGGATTTAGGTTTGGTTCCAGAACCGAAGGGCAAAATGGAGGAAAACAGAGAGAGGGGCCTCCGACCAGGAGCCAGGAGCCAAGGAGTCCATGGCAGAGGTGACCTCGCCGCCGGTGAGAAATGCCACTTCCCCACCCCCTGGGGACCAGGCCCGGAGCAAGAAGGAGGCCCTGGAGGCCCCGCAGAGGTGAGGCTGGCGGGACCCCGGGGACTGCGGGCTGGTGGGCGCGTGGGGCTGAGAGCTCATTGCTTTTCTTTCCCTGTCCGCCCAGGCCCTGTCCCATGTTGCGTCCCTGAAAGGTGAGTGCGGCTCTGCTGGCTGGGAGCCTGGCGACGGTAGACCCACCTGCTTTCTCCACGAGCTCATGCTTGCGCCTGGGCGGGTTCAGCTCCCGCTCTCCTGTTGGTCACGCAGGGTCTGTTTCCACACGCCATCTCGTTTGTGTGCCACGGGGCCCGGGACTAGGTGGCTGTCTCAGGGTCACTGTGTCTGATGGGGCTTGTCTGAGGGGCGCTTGTTTCAAAGTCAGTGCTCTGTGCTCATGGATTCTCCTGGTCACATCCTAGGCGGGGCCTGGGAGGGACAATCACCCCAGCTTACAGGCCCTCTGCGTCCATCTGTCCGTCCATCCATCCGACCGTGGAGCCTGCCACCTGCTGCCCCAGGAACTCCAGCTGGCTGCGGCTCTCACTGTCAGATTTGTTGTCTTATCAGTGGCTGCTGTTGTCTGAGGATGGAAGGCACTCAGGATGTTCTGTCAGGTCCAGAGAGAGGAACCCTTGTGGGCTGTCCCTTGGGGATTTCTGCGCACCCGCTGCTGGATGAGTGGGCCCCAAGCCTCCTCCTCCTGCAGTGGGTCAGGCTGCTGTGTGCCAGGAGCAGGGCTGGGCCCAGAGAGGGTGGGGGTTCATGTTAGTGTTCCCCCGAGGCCTTGCCTATCACAGGGGTCTGGGAGGTGGGGTTGCTTCCTGATAATCAGGGTGGGACAACTCTGCCCCCCTCCGGCCCAGGTGTCCCCAGCTGGTTCTTTGTTAGACTCTGGGAGAGGTAGGAGGGCGTGATGGAGCCTCCCTGGAGTGTCCTGAAGGGAGAGGAAGGCATTCTGGGATAGGGAACAGCACGCGCAAAGAAGCCGGCAGGAGGGAGGTGTGTTGGGGCAGAAAATCAGGCTTTTCTGGAGAATGACTGGTCTGGTGGGTGCCCATGGGGGAGTGTCCAGGGGTGGGAGGTGCCCGGCAGGGGCCTGAGCTCAAAGGCCCGAATGGACTTTCCACTGTCGGAGGTGGAGCCTCAAAGCCTGGAGCCACGTCTGGGCGGTCAGGGAGCTGGGCACGACGGCTGAGGCTCAGAGCCACCAGCTCGGGCCTCGCACCCCCTAG